ATAGTAACATAGCGACCTCTTCGACAGCCATAAACACGAGTAACATTTATCTATAGACTTTAATGTTAGTTAATAAATGATTTTGAAAACCATTTAAGTGTCGCCAATGACTTCTTTTAAACGGAATCTGATATTTAAAATTATATTTTAATAATATTTGTTCTCATCATAGTGAGATAGACGAAACAGTTTAATAAACTGCTTAGAATGCGCGAAAAATTGTCTAACAATAAAAATAACAATATTCCGAAATCTGCGCTAAATCCGTAAGACGGTCGGTGGCGGCGCCTCAGACGAGGTAGGCGTGTTATTGCTCACCTATGCCAAATCTGACTTTAACGGACCGTACAATTTCACCGCAGTTTATATCCTGATAAACTATACATTACTAGCTTGGCACTTCGTCCGCATAAAATTAAAAACGAATAAAAAACATAGCCTATATCACCAACGGATAAATTACCTCTCTAACGATAAAGGAATTTTTAAAATCGGCCTAAAAAATTTTGAGTTATTTAAAAAAAATACAAATCTTTCCTCTTAATAATATTAGTATAGATATATGTTGCTCACGACTTCGTCCGCTTGTAATTAAAGTATAATGAAAAATTTATCCTATCCCATAGGATAACATATACTCACTGATAACGTAGCTTTTTAAACGAGAAAGAATTTTTGAAATCGGCCCAGTAGTTGTTGAATTATTATTAGTAGTAAGATTAGTTTAGATTTATATCTTTACGTAGTTGTAAAGCGCAGCAGCTACTTGTGGGAAGTTGGAATATTTTTGTATCACTATTTAATAATGTTTACGCAAGTGGACGTTAATTAATAGATTTAATTAGCGACGGTAATCAATTAGTGCGTCGGAGTTAATAGTTTCGAATCGCGTCACGAGCGGCCGTTGCATTTTATACAAGATACAACGTACCTTACATATAGTATGATTATAAATTGTTAACCAGTTACAAAGTTACAATCACTTATCTTTGAATTAATATTATATTTAAAAATTTCCGTAAAAACTTTACAACCATCAACAATTTTTTTATTCTAAACATTTTTGTAAAATGTATTAATGTCATAATTATATTTAATTAACATAGCGTTTATGTTTAAATTACAGATTTACTATTTTTTCATATAAACAATTGTCAACAGGTGCACACCACTATTAACATATTTTTAGTAATAAATTCATAACACAGTTCCATCGTAATATTAAAACAACAAATATTCTGCAAAAGTAGGTTAATAGATAAAATACACTAACTAAACCATTTTCATGAGTTTAACGAAAATAGGTGCAGTACCGCCATCTATTACTTGTATTTAAAGTTAATTTATATTTACATATTTCCACAACCATAAATTCTCGTTAGATGGCGCTATTTCCAGTATGAATATTGTGTTTATGTATGGTGGTAGATGGCGCTGTGAATCTTTTTTTATTAACATTTAATTGATAAAATTTACATAATATTAATGTTACGAAAATAGGTCTATTAATAAGACACGTTTCAGTACACTTTACAGATAAGATACAAATATGAAATACAATCGGAAACGATCTGATAAATGTCTAATCTAGTTTATAATCAAACAAAAGTTGTAAATCAGAAGACAATGCTTGAAATTAAAAAGTGTCACAAATGTAAAAAGCTTTTATTATACTGTTTTATGTTATGAAACTGGCTGTCTAAAATTGGTGTCTACGGATGCCTCAAGAACAGCAACTACAAATATATTTTAATGAGAAAACGAATTTCAGAATTCTATAAAAATCGAATCTTTCAGACGTCTCAGATACCGTTTATGAGAATTCAAATCATAAATATCTATACCAATATTAGAAGAAAGATTTGCATTTGTATTGAAGTAACTCAAAAACTACTGGCCCAATTTAAAAACTCTTTTACCATTAGAAAGGTACATACCAGTGAGTAACACAGGCTATATTATTAATTATTTTTTAATTTAAAGCAAACGAAGTCGCAGGCAACAGCTAGTCATAAGATGTCAGCAATAACAGCAAATTTTTGAATAATTCATTTTTAAGAAGAAGCCCTACACTTACGTCACGCTTTAGGCTATTTTCAGGCCATTAAACTTATATGGTAAATATTTTGAAATAAAACCCTAATGTGGGAAAGAGACCATAAGTTGCTGCTAACATCAAGGAAGCAAGGTTGCCAAGATTTGTCATGTCATGTCATTTTGACATTGGCTATTAATAATTTGACAAATTTAAACAATAAAACTGTCATAACTTCATGCGGATGAAGCCGCACGGGAACAGCTAGTTTATTTTATACAAACAAAATTTCAATTGTTAGCAAAGTAGGCTTTCGGTAGATTCTAAAATAATTAAAATGTTTAATTAATTATTCAACAATTAGTCTACCGCGGTTTTGTATTAAAACAAGATAGCCATTAACAGATAATTATGAGATAATTATAATCGCAATATATTGTTTTTTTTTTAAGTAAAGTGATTGCCGGCCATGAACATCAAGGAAGCACGCTCTATTCTCTCGAGGTAGGAGCGATATTCCAATTATATCATGTTTCACAGACATACAATTAAGAACTTTGAAGACAATAAGCAAACTTAAAACAAACCTAAACAGTAATTTTAGTAAAACTGAAATGGATTCATTTCACTATAAAATCCCTGAAATCTCCCTGTTTTGTGTATAAATGCTGAAAACATATAAAATTTTGGTAACAAGTATGCTTGGATCAATTCATGGGTATTGCGAAAATAGTAAAATAGATATATATAATACTAGGTTTTGCCCGCGACTCCCTCCGCGTGAAATTTAAATATAATAGAACAAAAATTTAAAAATATAGCCTGTGTTACTCACATATAAATTACCTTACTAACGGTGTAAGAATTTTTAAAATCGGCCCAGTAGTTTTTAAACCTATTCATTACAACTAAAACAAAGTTTTCCTCTTTATAATATTAGTATAGACAATTTCAAAAAACACCATAGTATTATAATGGTAGCTGTCTATCTTCCCTAGTTTATTGTAGGCCCAGCAAAGCTTAAAGATAAGCTTTTCTAGGAATCCTTATATTAATTCTTAGATTTTTAAAACAAAAATATTATTTTGATCTCTCAACACTAGTTTCATTCATTAAAACCTACCCAGTAGTTTAAAAATGCATACAGGAAAATACCAACATTGTTTTTTGATATAAGACAATATTTTAGTAATAAAAACAAGTAATGAACTTGTTTTAAAATAAAAAGACAATACATCTTGTGTGCAAAAATATAACTTTGCTCATTTGATTACTGCGCAAAATAGTAAGTGACCTCAGAACTGCAAGGGAAGCAAAAACGTTGCACCGCTCGTGCAATGTTAATCATTTTTTGTCTACGCCCGTTTTCGTCTTAACTATACAATCTTGACCTCACTCATACAACACAATAGGATGTTTATTATTTGATCTACTTAGTTACATATAAAAAATAATGATATAAAACGCGAGAAAAAAACTTGCCTTGAAGTGCCACTGGGTCTACAGTAACTGATAAGAGTAACTTTTGCCGTTAACTGCACATAGGAGTACCTGAGTCTAATTGTTGTGATAAATTACGAATTTTAGGTTATCTTAGAAAATAATTACATCTATCTAATCATACTTTTGCTTACGTGCGGCCACTGTAAAACTTAGACTCGCAGTAATAATAAAATGGTTACAACATACCTCGCGCTGTAGAATGATGCTTCAGCGGAGGAAGCGGCGGCGCCGAAGGACACGCCTACAGCGAGACCCTCGGGGATGTTGTGGACAGTGATGGCCACCACCAGCAACATGATGCGCTTCCACTGCGACTGCCGCGCCTCCAGCGCCCGCGCCACGCTATCTCGACGCTCGTCTACATCACCTTCGCCCCCTTTCTGGAATTACAATGTACCTTTATGACTTTAAGTATTCATAAACAAATTTACTCCTACTGTACAGAGATAGTAGAATAAATAATGTTTTAAATTCAAAGGCTTAACTGTTTGTACCCGGACACTAAGAAAATAATTTCGATTCAATAAACATCTTTAATATTCAGAAAAATGTTTAGACTATAGAATTTCGAACTCGTACAGACATGCATTATCGTCAGAAACATTATACTCTTAATAATAAAAGAATCATTTGAAATGATCGCAAATTAATTACGCTTTCAGAGGTTCGATATGTACAGGACTAGACGATGCCTATATCGATTGAGCGTTACTTAATTCAAATTAATATTAACGTATAGCGAAATACATTAAAAAAATTCTGAATTTTAAACCTACTTTGGCTAATTGGGTTCTAGCTTTAACTATTTTTCTGTTACATCGCATCCTTCTAGTCAAAGAGGTCCTCCTAAGTTTAGACTTAAAGTCAATACGCAACATCAGAATTTTGAATGCTAATGAATTCAAATACTCAGTAACAGGTATTTGTTTTACTCTAAACCATGTGATTCCCCGAACAGTGGGTGCTTTAGAGATAATATTATTCTAATTTTTAACACATGAGAAAAACGATTAAAAAACCAGAGTACATTTTAATATTTCGCAATAATTTAAGACATCATAAATATACCACCGAAAATACGAAGTTTATTTTACATCATTTTTTACATGTACTTTTAAGAAAAGTTTTTAAAAGACGGGACAAATTGTTCATTATTCATTAGATTATGTCTATATCAGTTTATTATCAAAGTTACCGAAGTACATTTTTACGGCTGTCAGTCAAGTTAATCATTATACTGCATCAGAATTGCGGTTACTACCAACATTTAATGCAAGTTTAAGTTTTAAGTTAATTTGCATGTCTAACTGAAGGTCCTAAACTGTTTCGTAACATTTAAAACTTCGTTGCCTTAAAAAGGCGGTTAAAATTTTATTATGCATGGCACAGATTGTGCATTTATGTCTTGTTTAAGTATTATATTGAATAAATAAACATTAATGATACACGAGCAAATTCGTAGCCGTACTGTAATCGACTAATACAATGTTGCAAGATAATGTTTATATCTTTTTATTGTCGGTAGATATAACATATACGTGATTGTACAAGTATATGCCTATAACACCTTGGGCAACATCTGTCACTCGAAACACTAACTCATATGACTAGGACATGTCGAGATTCGAGATAGCAATTGTAATTTATTATTTACTAAGCATTTGTGGATCGAAATATTGAAATATGTTCCAATTCCAACGATTATAGACAGAAGAAAGGATTAAATGGAATTGACCATGGAACGGTAACTAACCTAGTTACTGTAAATATTTTTGTAAGGAAAAATTCTTCGAATACTTTCTGAACTACATGCATTTAACATGCGGGAAAGAAATTACAAAGTACTGTTTTAATTCCTTTAGCCACACGTGGCAAAATGTATTGTTATTGCCAATCAGCGTTAACAATAGCTGATATGCATTACCTAAATTCGACACTGACGATTAAAATGTATGTTTTTGCAATCATTTTTAACTAAATAACAAATATTAAAACATCGACAGAATTCTAGATCGGCATTTTATTTACGATTTGAGGTCGTGTGTTGTTTTTTTAATTTGCCAAAACCTCACAGGCAAAGGCTAGTGAGTTGAGTGGCCTGTGACTTCGACCACGCAGAATTTAAAAAAAAACTTGTTGAGTAGCCTATGTGTTTTTCAGAAATTACCAAATTTTATCCAGATCCGATTAGCCGTTTTAGAGTTTTATGGTAACATACATCCATGTATACTTAAGCATTTGTAATTTTAAAGATAAAACTTAAAATGTGCAACAATTATAAGCAACTGATGCAGCCCGATATAAAAAAAAACGGAAAACATGGTTTTTCCACATTATTATTGTTACCTGCACGATTTATTAAAAGGCCGTGACATTATACCACAAAATAAAACAAGTACTTTAAAGTAATATGTTGGTACTGATTTAAAAAAAAAAAGTACAATAAAACAAACAGAAACTGTACAGCAAATTATCATTATAAATATGCGAAATGCTACTTATTATTTTGAATAAACACCTATTTGAATATATCACCAAACTTTTTTTTAATTTCATATCAACCCTTTTAGCAGTATTTAAATTTATACATAGACACACAACACGTGCGTGTATGCACATATTTACGAATCTCCAAACTATGATGTCACAGAGAGCCACATCAAAATTCATCAAGTAATGTCCGGCTCTATAAAGACAGAAAAACTAACATAATATGTAAAGCAGGTCGGCTCGACATTCCTAAATGTTTCCTCGTAAACTGATCGTCTAACAAGAAAATGCTAATGAAATAAAATTTTCTTTGAATCGCTAATAGTAGAAATACAAATGATTTTTATATTAATGAAAACAAAGGGGTATAGAATCAAGAATAGTTTGACATGATCGAAAAAACCTTGTATTGGAGAATTATGAAATTACAAGAATTTGAATAACGGTTCAGAATATGGACGCAGCACGCTTGGTGGACGTGCACATATGTAAAACCGTAAGAACATGCCTAAAGCCTTTATAAAGTCTTAAAGTTTGTACGCATTCTTTGTATATCGTATAAGTCAGAAAAATTTAAATTAATATTTAGCAATGATTGAATAATGGCGGTTCTACCTGTATTGGCGCCCCTTTTTTAGGGTGGTTAGAGTGTTATGCCCCTTTCCATCAGGCGCCCTGGGCGGTCGACTAACCGCGTCATACATTTTGGGATACTTTAATTTTGTTTAATTTAAGATTTGTACCTTTCATGTAACCATTCAGACTCCTATCAGAATTGTACGTCGTAAATAATTTACCAACTTGATATTGTTACAAATTAGTACATGACAACTGCTGCATTTAAATCAATGGCTCTAAATTACTAGACAATTAAAGTATGAGAACAGAAACTTTAGAACGAAGGTAAAAATACTAAATAGTTTAAACTTTTGAAACATTTTTATAAAAGAAACACAGACAGGTCACTGATCTCTACAAATACTTGCTGTATAGGTTGGGAATGACGGCTTTTGCATCGTTACGAAAAAACAATACACAAATAGTAATCTATTTCCTATTATTAGTTCGAATTTGAATACCACTGGCAACACCGCCAAAAATCAAACATGCACGAAATGCCTTTGCTTAAACTTGTCCAGTGGAATACAGAGGTCAACGATTCCGTTTCGAATGTTGATTGATGTTTACTGAAATAGTAAAAAATATTATAACATACCAATGAGAGGTGAGAATGGTGGTGAGGCCGCCTGCGCTGTGCTGTGTGCTGGTTGCTGATGCAGTCCGCGAACTCCGCCGGCTGCTCCAGCGTCACCACGCTCGTCGGGTTCGACGGCCGCTGGTTCAGAGCAGTCATCATCTCCAAATCTTCCAGCTTCTCTTTAGAATCTTTGCTCTTTGTTATTGCTGTAATAAAAAAATATTATCTATACAACATAGTACTAGAAAACTCAGCTCAGCAAGCTATGTATAACATTTTTAATATTTTTAAAGTGTTAAAAGGTAAAATAAATTCTAGAAATAGTCATGGCTGATTGTAAGCATGGTTACCATTAATCATTAAAAAAAATATAATTGCCTCAGTCAGAGTTGTGTATTGTTTACACAAACAATCCTTTAGTGTAGATTTCTCATTCTAAATCTACACCAAAGGACCACATGGTGACCTTTTAATAAGTCTGAGTTATAATCGGTCAAATGGCAAAATAACCCCCATAGGTACATCTCTGGTATAGTTAGATCCAAACAAAGTATTATTTAAAATACTTGTATAACGATAATCCCAACAATGTCTGTCACATTAAAATGAATACATTCCTCTGTATATAATACCATTCATTGTCAACAAAGATAGCGCAGTAATATAAGTTATAGCCAAGAAGCCAGTAGTAAGCTTCCAGATAAGATACAATCTTCCAATGCTAAGATTTAAGCCATTAAAATACGATAAGAAAAATGATTTACTTTAGAACCTATGAACACTGAATTCCTTGTATTTTGTCAGTTAACTGATACCTATAACTTTACATATGTAAGATAAATAACTTTGACATTTTGTACATTTTAAATGCAAACTGAATACAAGGAAAACTGTCACAAAGTACATAGAAATGTACAAGTAAATGTCAACCAGGTTTCTCCAACATGGAATTACATATACTAGTAGAGCAATGGTAACTTCCTAGGTTATTTTCCTTGAAGATAAGAAAAATGAATTGTTTTTAAGGAGCAAAAAACAAATGGTAATTTACCTACTCCTATAGAATGTAAATCATTCACAAAAATAAGATTACAACTAAGCTATTGTAATAAAATTGAAATATTTGTTACCACTGTCTCTCCGTGTGAGACAGTACAAGATCTACTTTTGTGTAATAACACTATTTGTTAATTGAAAAAGGAAAAAAACCCAATTGACTGTACAACACTCAAAGGGAATTATACAAATGACACCTCATAATGGAATTCACTTATTTAAAAGTGTACAAATGCATGAAAGTCAGTCCAATAAAAGGACATATAAAAATTCCTTATTGATAAGACAACTATAACTTTGCTTAAAAATGTATACAAGAGACAATATATAACTACAACAGTTATTTTAAACAAAATATAAAGTGTCATTTCATTATTTGATCAGCAACTACATTGTATTTTATTTGGATAAAACAATTTTAATAGTAGTCATTATGTTTTTTAGTTAAAAATGAGGAAAACCATAGTTGGTTTTCCTCATTTTTTTAGAATCTAGAAAATAAAAAAAAAAGAAAATAGAAAAAAAAAACTAGTGTTTTTTGCATTCAAAAGTAATAAATTATATGTAATCAAAATCAAAAGTCCTACTGTCTGCAATTTTCCTATAGTTATAACTCTTTTGTTGGGTTTTTCAATGAAAATTAAAATATTAAAACACACATATACCAAAACATACAAAGCTTGACCTTAACATTTCCTTGTAAAATAAATAAAGCTGGACAAATATATGCAATATTTGTTTATTTAATTTAATTGGCTTAACAAGAAAATAGCAAAACTGACAAAAAATACTCCAACAAAAATATGAATCATTATAATTTAACTTGTGACAAATGTTACAAAATTTAATTCTTACTTCAGTCAAAAATAAAAAAAGGTTTTAAAATTTTGCAATAGAGAACAAAAAGCAGATCAGTTAAATTTTGAAGACAGATTAATTAAATTTATAATACTAAATAATCAATTATTACTTAATTGCCATTATTCAATTAATTGTTTTCAATGAGCCCAAATTGAAGATAATAATTGCATTGCAGATAAAGTTCAAAAATTATCAATTTCAGTTCATTTGTGAACACAATAACTTTACATGAAAAGTATATGTTTTTAAGAAAAATAATTGATTTATAATATTGAAATCTTTTTTGGTATTTATTTCACTAAAAGCTGGAACATGTAAGTTTATATATTTTATTTCCTAATCAAGGCTTATTAGGAAATGATGAATGAATGAGAATCTATGAATAAGAAAAAATATTTATGAATGTAGAAAAAGTAAAACTTTATTATAGTGTAGCAAAATTGAAGATTTTATTATTCCACGCAGCCAATTTTCTGAGCACAGTTTTTTAAAAATTAATTTGATAAAAGTAAAAATGTTTGTGATGTTAAATTAATATTTTTTTAAACACATTAAAATGGTTTTTTTTAATGAATTAGTTTCAACCAATAAAGAATAACAACTCACTTGTGTAGGAATCTAAATCTGCCTAAATTTATATGATGCAAACACAATTATGATAATTAATTACTATTTCATACATAATAAATATTAAAATCCACATTACCTCTAGAATTTAATTTTTATGTAAATTAAAACACTATAATTACTTGTAAAGCGTTTGAATTAAAGTAAAAATTCCACTTACTTATCATCATGTTCGTTGAATTGATTCCCAGATAATCCAAAAATTTATCTGTTCCAAACACAAAGACAGCACCAAATAAAAATCCTGCTGCAACTGGAACGAATGCATATTGTCCTTCTTCTCCATATGTTCCAGAGGTTTTACACATTTCTATAGCAGGCTCTAATAGGGACCAGTACGATGCTGCAGTCATAACCCCCGCAGCAAACCCAAGTGATACATCAAGTAACTTCCTCTGCAATATAATCCCACTATGAATTCGTGTTTAGGATATACACTAATTAAAACTATAGATATTCCAATACATACATGTTTCCCTCTGATAAAAAATACACAACCGGCGCCTACAGCTGTAAGACCCCACGTCAAGAGGGTTCCCAAAAGGGCTTGGGTCACTGCACCGTAGCCAGGTATCATTTTTATTGTTATTAAGTACTTGTTCCTTTTTAAGTACTATTTACTGATAACATTTCAAGTAATGTTTTTAAAATAAGAGCAAGTTATCTTACACCATCTTTATATAGCTACACAACACTCCACATGTTTACGTACGACTGCTGATGAGTGGAATTTGCATAGTGAATAGTGACGTGCATCACACTCAACGTCAGAAAATCGATGTTAGTAATGTCGATAAAAAAGCGCAATACCAGTTTACATTGACCACTTCAAGACCTTTTTTTATATAATCGCGTATTAGGTCTAGGTCTTGGTCTTTTCTCTGTTGCTTTACTCTAATAGAATTTTTGTTATATTGTAGCTTTGTGACTTTTTGGAGCATAAATCATTTTATCAATTATAAAAACTACGTTTTAATGATAAAGCTACGTTGTAATGATAAAATTTTACATTAACAGTAAATTTTGGTTTTTGTGTCAAAGTCGTTTAAACGTTACAGGCAGTGGCGGTCGTTATTTATTAAATCGCGCCAACAGCATACATACCTATTCAAACCTTGCATTTTAATGCTTATTTTTCAAATGAGGATGCGGCACAACACTACACATGTGTTTTCTGCTTATTTAGTTTTTACAGAAATAAATTTTAATAAGATTATGTTGATGTTTCCAAAACATTTTATTTAACAAATAACATAATTTTCTGGCGATAATAAATGTGTAAATATGCTTTTGAAAATTAATGTCTTTGTACAGATAATAAGCTAGCAATACTCAACACGACAAATCTTGATTTTTGACATTGACATTTCTATTTAATGATAACTTTCCTACTTTTCGTTATTTTACTATGTTTTAGATGTGAAGGAATGCATATAATCGTAATTTTATTAATTACCTGCCTTATCTAGTCAATTAAAAACCAATTTTAAGTCATGATTTTTCATTTTAAACGCGTTTTTATATTCCCCCTAGTTATATTTATTAAAAAAAAGTAATGCATGGCAATCACAGGCAGTCATGTTATAGTTTTGAGAGAAGTGGGCCGGTGAGAATAACTGATTTATGATTTCATCAAAATTACAATTTACAATACTTTATTAGTGAAAGTTAACATGATTAAGAAGACAGTGATAGAAGGTGGATAAACCTGAAAAGCTAAAACGTGGTGTGTCTACCTTACGGGAGTGTGACAAGGACGGGAAATATATTACTAGTAGATGTTGGGAAAATTCACATTTGTACTTTGTAATTCTTTAATTCTAAATTCATAGTTCATTTTTGTATGTTTTAGAATGTTTAACTTTTACTAATAATATGCTTAAGATAGAATTTTAGCTTTAGCTTGATTAGTAAGTCATTGCATTTTTATATTTCAGTTAACTAGTATGTAGATCAACAAGTAGGTCATCATCAGCATCAGCCTTTATCTGCAAACTGTTGGCAACCGGTAGGTATTAAATATAAAAGGGTTACATAGACTGCCCAGTAAAATTGTGGAAATGTTGAATGTTTTCCAATTAAAATGTCAAACAATCTCCAGGAGGCTGATGTGTTTTTTTTTATTTTTTTTAGAATTAATAGTATATTCACAATGTGCTTACATTATATTATATTCAATATTATACTTTATATTGTGTTCATACTAATGAGAGAATTAAAAATGCATGTTGCATAACATATCTCAAAAGTAGATGGCAATAATTTGCACTAACAGCAAACATTTAGAAACAATATATTTAACTTTTGATTCGTCTATTAGGTGTTTGCATTTTTTTTTAAAAGTAATTAATTTATTTTCCTGTGTAACTACACCTACTTAGTTGCATGGAAAACATGTGATAATGCCGTAGAATATAAATAATATGTCTAGACGTACTCAGAACTTGAATTAAAACATATTTTAGTAACATATCTTGAGGTATTGTGGGCGTTGTTAAATAACAATATGAATTTTGATGCATTAAAAAAAACATGTTTCGCATATTGTTTGCACGTAAATAACATAGTAAGAATACGTAAATATTGCAGTGCGAACGCAATACAACGAATAACGGTATAGCGAAACCTATTTGCGTAAATCTTTACACAAATACTACATTCGTCATTCAGTCAATCCTTGTTGCACGTAATATGTTTTAGTATTAAAAATACTAACACACGCTTATACTGAGCGGTGTGAAATGATATCTCCGCTACTGACTTAATTCTCACGTATTTAATTATTCCTTAACGAGGTTTAATTGGGCCATAAACACGGTATTTGTTAAATTAAGTTTTTAACGAGTAGGACAGGGACTACGTGACTGATATCTTCTAAGCGATTAAATAGTTTGTGCAAGGTCTTAACGAGCCAACTCACATGGTATCTAATTACTTTGTATGTCTAAAAAATAAACAATTGAAATGGCATTCATAGTTATAATCTTACTTCTTACTATTATAAATGCGAAAGTTTGGATGGATGGATGAATTGTTTGTTTGTTTGTTAGAGTTTGTAGCCTGAACAGCTGAACGGATCTCGATGAAATTTGGCATAGTTGTAAAACATAGTCTGGAAGAACACATAGGCACACTTTTCTTAAACATATTCGAATATCAGTGCATTCTAATTCTTTCTAATAATTCGTATTTTGTTACAAAATACGTAATCTCTTAATTACAGGTGCTAACGCTTCATTTATTAGATTTGATTTATAGCCATGACACTGATAACAATGTGCATAACAATTTCGTAGATAATAGAGACGTTAAATGTTTATTTACTTAAAATCACGTTTAGTATCTTTTGTTCATTTAACAAAAACAAGGTCTAATCCTTTTGAAGCTATAGAACGAGACATGGTTCCACTTAGTAATCATAGTGAATAGCGAAAAATATTACGAGCGATTAAATCATTTTACGATGATTGAGCCTGTTTTTTTCCTAATTTTGTCCTCATGGTCCTTTAATGGGAATTTACAAAAATAAACATTTAATAAAACATTCACGCTATGCCGCGTTTTATTTTGTCAATCTATACTATGTATCTATACTATCTATATCTATACTATTATAATAAAGCGTAAACACACACTTCTTTGTTGCCTAAGATGTCAGCAATTACAGCACACTTTGAATAGTTCTTTTTTTAATAAAAGGTCCTACACTTACGTCACGCTTTAGGCTATATATTTTCACGTCATTAAACCTTGGGGTAAATATTTTAGATAAAAATCCTAATGTGGGAAAGAGATCATATGTAGCTGCCAACATCAAGGAAGCAATTGACTGAATTTTGACATTTCATGCGGATGAAGCCGCACTAGAACAGCTTGTTATTTATATTTAAAATTGACTTTAGGAAATAACCATCGGTAATTTTTTTATCCCATCAATGTGGGTTAATCAACATCACTTATGTTTTAATTAACACTATTAAATAGTTAATTTTCCATTTTTGAATCTCTAACAATAGACATTATAATATTTTTACCGATATAACAGGTATCATCAAGATATTTGACGGTATCATTAGCCAGTATTGCGAGCCTCATTCTTCATTGTTGCTTTACCTCCTTAACAGTACTACAATAAATAACGACATACAACCGTTACTTTCGTTTCTATCGCAACATATTGAATACCGTAATGTTTTTTATTATGTTGAGAATAGATCAACGGTTAATCGTTAGATGATAATCCAAAGAGATGCAGATTTAAGATCCCTTTCATAATGACTGTGTTAAGACGAAATAATCCGACTAAAGTAATACAGTTGAATATCAGGCTAAAGAAATTTACAAATTGCTAGACAGCCCAATAACTAATCTTTACAAAAGATACATAAAGTCAACACTTATCTTGAAGGTTAAATACAGGTCTAAATCAAATCAAATAGTGAAAAAAATCATTGAAAAACGTTAACGGGAGGGGAGATGTTGATAATAAATGACACATCGTTGGAAATACTAATGCAAGGTTAAAAAGGATTACCCTAATTATATTACTAATTACTATGGATAGTAAAGACAGCTCTATGACGAAAGAACGACTCTCGAACAGAAGAAGTTATGAACTGATGGCCCTGTTAACGGTGACGGAAATTTTTAGAAGAGTCGAGTTATTTTTACATCTTTTTGGAAGAAGAAAAAAGGTTCACAATGACATATCCAGACAGAAACGAACATGGGCCAAAAACTTGCTTCATCAAAGATTAGTGATAAATTATTTTTGCCACAATTAAGCTACAACAGATATTTTATTACATATTATATTACAGATAGTTTATGCATCAACGAAGCGCATAGATAATGTGTGGTATCATCACAATGTCATTACGTACCGCACGATCTATATGTGCGGCCCAATTAATGGGCTGCAGTGACCACTTCGATGATTTCCAGAGCTGTATGATTGACTCATTCTGACCGCAAATATAAACATTTAGGTCGAACTTTTTGGAACAGTGCATCGCTTCACGGCCCCGGAATAAATAACCCAGTTAAGTTGATTTAAAAAGTAAAGAAATTATTTTTATTTAAACAAAATTCTATAGATTCTTATTTTATGGAATATTTTATATTTTACATAATGTTTCTCTTCATAATTCACATAAATGAATTATGAAGAGTGAAAAATTATGAAACAAACATATCATTAAGTATATATGATATTTAAAATACAAATTAAAGTGTAACACGAGTTAACAAACATGTATGGGTAGTCATAGTTATGTCAAAGAAGTGGTTTATGGTGAGATGTAGTGCGCAGTGGTAACAACCTGTCATAACCACGGGCGACGCATGCGCAGGCGCAGTCAGCGTAGCGTTAAAAAGAACAAACAATTCCGCTAGATCGTCATTATTCAAATTTTCGCCGTACTAGATGTTCGTTTGTTCCGGCCGCTGCTTCTTGTTCTATTTCCTTGCAGTCTGAAATTACGATTAGTCCGGTCGAAATGAGAAGCGGTCATCCGTGGTGGATGGCCGTGTGAACGCCCCGTTAACAAACAGTTTACACTGCCAGTCAATATTCAAGGTAATCTTGAAGCCCCAATAGTTCTCTGATTAACCTTAAAAGTTCATCTAATTTTTGATGCTTGTACGCTTTTAATAAGATTTTGAATAATTCATGCTTCCAAAAATCGATTATGTCTTTCCCACATTTAATTTCATGTTAATACCAATTAAGCCTGTTTTATTTATTTTTTTCGTCTTAACTGGCAATAAGATAAACAATTTTTATAGCGAGATTAGGTTTTACATAAAAATAAGTAATAAAATAGTTTAGATTGCAGTTAGGTCATAACATAACGATTACTCAAACATGCATCGGTAGCACATGTTGAAAAAGGCATATGACGGTGCGTTATATTGTACGCGGTAAGCGTGCGGTTTTGCTTCGCATGGACATAACATGAAGTGATTGCGTAACGGGCATCCAGTTTACTGTTCATATCGATTTGGGAACGCGACAATAAGCCGTGGATATCACAACAGCTTGTATAGGGCTGCCGTCGGACTTGAATGGCTGAAAAAAAACCTACTAAAGTAACTTAGCAACTCTTGGACGAAGAAAAAAATGTCTGATCACTAATAGAAAGACAAATCCAGTGACATACTCATTTCATGTCTTCCACTCTGACCAGAAGACGACGCCGTCAATTCCATAACTTATGCCGTCATATGACGAAGATACAAACCCTAAGAATTCGAGCGGAACCTGAATATGTGGCAGCCCTTCTTACGGAAGATGCCATCTATCACATCACAAGATTAGTAGCGCTTGCTATAAAGATAATGACGGCAAAAAGTCGACAGCGGCACGCGCTCTCTTGACACATTCAATATCGTGGAATGAGCTATGCGATTCCTAGTGCCCTGCACGATTCCGTTTCCTTGACATAAATGTAATACTGATGTTAGATCTCAACTGCATCTTCCGGCAATTATTGTACGATGATTGAATGTTACATTAAATTAAAATAGATACATTGTATAATCTTTTCAAGCCTTAAGTAAATAGTATATAAGAGACAAAAATAAGTTAACAACCATTTGTTTATT